TTCTGACTTAACTTTTCTGCTTGTTTTCCAGAGGGGTGATGGAAAAGTCCTTTCTGGAGTATTATGACTTCTATGAGGTGGCCTGCAAAGATCGCCTGCACCTTCAAGGCCAAACTATGCAGGTAATACAACCCCTGCTGCTAATTGTAGAAGCCCTACAGCTGGCCATTGTTCATTTGCCTCTACTGGCAAAAGTGTGCTTTTGCTTCCAATAAGAACTCAGAATTTGGGCTTGTTTTAAGGAAGGAGGCTATCGTTGACCAAACTGTAGATAAGACAGTCAGGTGCGGTGGCTCATGCCTGTACTCTCAGCACTTTGGGAGGCAAAGGTGGGCAGATCTCTCGAGGCCAGTAGTACAAGACCAGCCTGGCCAACATGGTGAAACCCCATCTCTACTAAAAAGACAAAAATTACCCAGTCTTGATGGCTCATGCCTGTAATCCCAGCTACTTGGGAAGCTGAGGGATGAGAAATGCTTAAACCTGGGAGGCAGAGGTTGCAGTAAACTGAGATTGCACTACTGCACTCCAACCTGAGCAGCAGGACAAGATTTTTGTCTGCAAAAACAACCACAACAAAAACACATTATTGATAGACTAATGTAAACTTTACCACCTGGTTGGTAAGAGGATGAGAATTCTCCTGTCCTGGAGAATCAGTTCTGTGTATTTGGATCATCTTACTGGTGGTCTTGCTTAGAAATGGGAGACTTGTGGGGCCCAGCACAGTGGCTCACACCTGTAATCCCAGTACTTTGGTAGGCCGAGGCAGACAGATCACTTGAGGTCAAGAGTTTGAGACCAGCCTGGCCAACATGGTGAAATCCTGCCTCTACTAAAAATAGAATAAGCCAGATGTGGTGGTTCGTGCCTGTAATCCCAGCTACTTGGGAGGCTGAGGCACAAGAATTGTTTGAACCCAGGAGGCGGAGGTTGCAGTGAGCCGAGATCACGTTGTTGCACTCCAGCCTTGGCAATAGAGCCAGACTTCACCTCAAAAAAAAAAAAAAATGGGTAACTTGGATAATTGACTTAAGATTTCTTAAGGCTCTCTCCAGCTCTCGTACTATGTCTATTCACCCACCCAACACCAACAGCAGTAGGAGGAGATGACTTATTCTCTCCAGTGCTACTTATAAATGGTAGTTTTCCCTTCCTTCAAGGACTTTCCACCCACCTGTCTCATTTAAGCACAAAGTGCAGGGCTGGCTTAGGACTAAGTTGTCTCCTAAAGCCTTTTTGAGAGTATATCAATGACATATGTCCTAGTTTGTTCCCCATCAGGAATTCTAATTGCTGGTATCCAACAGCATTAGCGATACCAGTGTGTAAAGGAAAAACAACTGGTGATGAGGGATGGGAAGGGGGACAGCATCTGGGCAGAAGGAGAATTAGAGGAGTTGGAGCCACGGATGAAAGAAGATTTGTAGAATTGACAGCTTCATAGATAAATGTGGAACTCAGTCATGAGGGAGTTAACTTTCATGAATGAGAAGTGCAGGCTGTAGTCCCAGTGACTGTGACTAGCACCCACTGCCATCCCACTCAGGATGAGGGTAATGTGTGGGTAGAAGTGTGGAAGGAGTTCTTGTGAGAGAAGCAAACAATGTGAGAGGGAAAGTTGTGTACCTTTTGGGGGCTGTTGCACTACTTTGCTGCCTAAGTCCCTATATAGTATTTTAAACTTTTTTATACCATCCACTCAAGTAGTTGTTTTTGAGACTATGGGGACAATTAAACCTTTCTGTAAAATGTTTAGGGATCTTTGATCTAGAATGAGAAGGACTAAGATCAAGGCTAGGTGGCCCTGGAGCAATGCCCAGAAACCTGGACAGGAATGGAGTGACAAGTCCCTGGGGAGGAGTACAGGTGCTTATCTGAAAGTCAGAACTCTTGAGTTCTAGACCTGCCTGTGACCTTAGAAAAGCAAATTGCCATTTTTGAGTACAGAGAATAAAGGGCAACTTTTAGCCAGGCGCGGTGGCTCACGCCTGTAATCCCAGCACTTTGGGAGGCTGAGGCGGGCGGATCACAAGGTCAGGAGATCGAGACCACGGTGAAACCCCGTCTCTACTAAAAATACAAAAAATTAGACGGGCGCGGTGGCGGGCGCCTGTAGTCCCAGCTACTCAGGAGCCTGAGGCAGGAGAATGGCGTGAACCCGGGAGGCGGAGCTTGCAGTGAGCCGAGATCGCGCCACTGCACTCCAGCCTGGGCGACAGAGCGAGACTCCGTCTCAAAAAAAAAAAATAAATAAAATAAAAAAAATAAAAAAATAAAGGGCAACTTTTACTTTGTGTGGTTTTTATGAGGTTAATTAAAAACATAGGTATACTTTATAATTCTGGTCTTGAATTTCTCTTCCCTATCTATCTCACCCTTACTGTCCCTTCTTCCGGATATTGGTTTGCTTTTGAGGAATACCAATACATATTCACTCTAGGCCAAGCTACACCTATTTGGGGCAGTAAGGGTGTCTTTTTTTTTTTTTTTTTTTTTTTTTTGGAGACAGTTTCAGTCTTGTTGCCCAGGCTGGAGTGTAATGGTGCGATCTTGATCTCAGCTCACTGCAACCTCCGCCTCCCAGGTTCCAGTGATTCTCCTGCCTCAGCCTCCCGAGTAGCTGGAATTACAGGCGTGCGTCACCATGCCCGGCTAATTTTGTATTTTTAGTAGAGACGGGGTTTCACCTTGTTGTTCAGACTGGTCTCAAACTCCCAACCTCAGGGGAGCCGCCCTCCTCGGCCTCCCAAAGTGCTGGCATTACAGGCATGAGCCACGGCGCCTGGCCTAGGTGTCGTATTTTTAAGCAAAGGTTATTTTGCCTGCTGTTCGGGACTACCTATGCTGTTAGGCCTTCCTGCTCCCATGGCTTAGAAGTTGAGCTTGCATTTCACATGAACCCGAAGCTGCTTTCTCTAGGATCAGCCACCCAGACTTGAATCTTCCATCCCCTTGTCTCCTTTCCCCCATAGGACCCTTTTGGAGAGAAGCGGGGCCACTTTGACTACCAGTCCCTCTTGATGCGCCTGGGACTGATTCGTCAGAAAGTGCTGGAGAGGCTCCATAATGAGAATGCAGAAATGGACTCTGATAGCAGCTCATCTGGGACAGAGACAGACCTTCACGGGAGCCTGAGGGTTTAGACCCTGCTCCCATCTCCCCTTTCCCCCCAACTCAAGAGTCCCAGCAGAATTCCTTCCCCCCACCCCAGGGATGGAGAGGCACTGTGTATCTCCCTCCAGACTCGAAGTCATCCTGCAAGATGGCGAGAACCAAGCAAGCTCGGATCCCAGGGTGTGGGAGTGGGGGGCCTGTTCCCGGTCTGACCTCCTTGGCACTGGAGCATCTGGGGCGACGTTCATCTGTTCATCCCATATCAGGGGCCAAGGTACCTTTACAGGAGCACCTAGAGCGAGGGCCTCTGGCAAAAACAAAACAACCAACACACCTCTCCACAGGGCCAGCTCCTTAGGGATAAGTAGAAGACGGAAATTGCAGTTCCAAGAGGGATTGTGCCCAAATGATTTATGGGGATACCTGGAAGGGAGCTTGGGGTGGGGGCTGTCTGTGACACTTAAGCAGTCTGGGTGGTTGTCTATTTGTCTGTCTTCAGTCTTGAAGCAGGGCTTCCCAATGCCCTTTTCCTCCCTGCCTGCCTTCCCCCATTATTTCCCACAGGCCAGCATAATTTTGTTTTTCCTAATTTATAGTCACTGTTCTAGACAGACCAAAGAGAAGGAACAGTGGTGGAGTCTAGGCTGCTGATCAGTAAGCTTTACCTAGCACCTGAGCACCTTTCTCCCCTCCCCCCTTTCCTCACCCTTTTCTAGATGTAAGACAGAAGGTAAATGTGACTGGGACTTAACCAAGGTCTTGGTAAAGCCTGCATAGGCACCGTAAGAAGCTGAAAATACTGTTTGTTCCCACAATCACTGATTTGAAAAGTTCCCGGCACAGGCAGCTGCTGTGTATATGGGATTAGAGCCACTACATAGAATAGTCTTACAGATTTTCATAAATACTAGTCACAATGAGGGTATTTCTTTTGAGGGTGGAATAAGTGGGAGACTGATGCTAGTCATTGTATTTTGTTGGGCTGTCCTTGTGTATTTTCACTCCAGCCTGTAGTCCTCCTCACTTCAACCCCAGGGATTTGTGGGGAACAAGGGTAGCCAATGGCAGAGGGGATTGGGGCTGGGGCTCTGGAGGCTCCTCCCCTTCTTTCTCCTTCCGCCTCCCCTGTGCCCCCAGCTGCTCTTGTCACTGACTCTGATGGGTGTTTGCCTGGCTGTGTTGCTTCTCTGTATTTAGCTGCAGTGATCCTTTAGCTGGTTGGCTCAGAAAAAAATGTGCTTTAGGTGCCCTGTAATCCTGGGCATCAAGGGAATCCATCCTTCCCCTTTTTGATATGTTCTCCCCATACTTCCAGATTTATTGTTATGGCTCCCAGTGGGTATTGGCAATTCTTGTGATACAGGGCCTCAGTCAGTGTCCAGCCATGCATAAGGGAGAGGATAGTGTGTACCTGCCCTGCCCGCTGCTATGAAAGTCTCTGGCTTGTGGATCATGGGACTCCCCTTGGAGGATCTGTGCAAAGCGGGGCTGGGCAAAAAGGAGAATGTCCTACTTGGGAGGGCAGGAAGCAAAGGAACTGGACAGGGATTGGTGGGCTTGGGGAACGGAAGTTTATCTTGGATACCCATGAAGAGGCTGGGTCTCTTAACATGAAGATTGAAAAGGGACCCTGCTTCCAATTTCCCTCTTCCATTCCTCGAGCTACTCCAGGGCTTAGAAAAATGCCCTTGGTCTGTGGGTCCAGTGTTGTCTGTCATCCATTTAAGTGTTCCCACTTTCAAGCGACAATCCTCTCCTTGGCCCTGCCATAGGGCAGAGCATGTCTGGCATAGCAGCCTGACTTGTATGCCCTAACCTTGAGTTGAGGAAATATATGCACAGGAGTCAGAGATGTCTTTATATCTGACTGTACATAAATGAAGTTTTCTTTTTTTTTTTTTTTTTCCTTTTTGGTGCAATAAAGTTTGTTTTGGCAGAAGGAGGAAGTGCCTGTGGGCATGGGAGGGCTTGTGTAAAGGAGTGGGATCATCTTGTTAACTACACCTCACCTAGGCCTGGAACTGTTAGGGAGAAGGAAAGTGCTGTGAATTGTCTGGAAGCCAAAGACTTGCATAACATGGTGGAAGGGCGGGGCCGGGTGGGGAGAGCAGGACAAGTTTTCTCATTGGAAATGGGGTTCATTTTTTAAGGCTCTGGCAGTCAGTGACATCTTAGTTTCAGCGGCTTCCAAAGACCTATTCCAGAACTTGGAGTGAGCATGTCCTACAAGGACAGGCAGAGGTAGAGATGGGCCCAGGCTATATCCTGCTAAAGGAAGGGTCTCAGTATGGAAAAACCATTGAGTTTTCAGATTTCCAGTACAGTAGTACTTTTTAAGGATCTTAGCCTTTAGACTAACGACTTTGGGAGCCTTAAACAACTCTGGCCTCTTCTCTCATCACTTCTACTTGCTGTAGGAGATTCTTGCTTTCTGATGCAGAAGCTTTTACTCTTGGCTGACCATGTGTGCAGAAAAATGTCTACACACAGTATGTGCTGCCATTCTGTACTGTGCAGTGATACATGAAGGCATGGGCTCGGGTTAATACGCCTAGGCTCCAGCTTTGGCTCCGCTGAAGCTGGCGGCCCCTGGCAAATTACTTTGATTCAATCACCTGTGACGCTGAAGGCTGCCTACTTGGTGAAATTTAAGTGAGCTGTATGTAAAATGGGACAGGGTAGGTGTTCAGTAAATGACTCCCTTTCCCACTACTGAGGCTAGAGGGACCTGGCAATCTAGTACAGGAGGGTGAGAAAGCTAGTAGGGAATTTGAGAAAATAGAACATTCCCTAACTATTGTTTGATTCCCATCAGAGTCCATTGTTTTCTTTCCTCCAGTTGAGCCACGATTGGACATTGACTTCTATTTCCTTCATACTCACAGCTAACTTTGTCATAACCTAGAGCCTCTACAGAGGAAGCCAGAAGAGGCTGAAAGAGTGAATAGTATTTACTGGTCCATTAGGACCAGCTAGTTTGAGATAAGGAACATTTTATTAAAAATTTTTGAATTAGCATAGGCTGTAATCTATGTCTCACAGCTACAAAGACTAGACAGGCCAGGAAACAACCTGCATTCCAGGCCCAGCTCTTCCATGAACTTGCAGATGACCTGCACAAATCATTTTATATGTGCTTGCCGTTTTCTGTGTTAATCAGATTATCCTTACTGAATGAGCGAGGTCTTCTCCAATAAAGATGCAATGTGAAGGCACTTTTCAAAAATAAAAGAATGGGGGAAGAAAGAAAAACTTGGAACTTTTTTCTATTTTTTTTTTTTTTTTTTTATAAACAAAACTACCCAGGTTTATTTGCCCTCCTCCTCCTTCCTGCCTGCTGCTGTGTGCCGTTCCACACGCAGTCAGGGGAGGGCTTCTCTGGCCTCTTCAGCTGTAATCTCCTGGGAGTAGAGGTCAGTGAAGAGAGCTGGCAGCCAGTAGTGGGCCTCCCCTGGGGCCTGTAAGTCCAGCCACGCCAACCCTTCCTTCAGCAGGTGTTCCTGGAGGGAAAAGGGAAGAAGAGCGGTTTGAGAACAGGGAGGTTCCGTAGACAAAGGGTAGGTAAGCAACCCCCAAACCTATTTTGGCTTCAGTGAGGTTTTCAAACTAAATCTACTAAGTGCCTTCAAACATTTACACAACTAACTAAATGAGCTGTTTGGCCTTGGCCTTTGCCTGAATGTGAAAAATGCTACGAAGTCATTTAACTTGTGCTGCTGAGGAAGAGGGGTAAAGCCTAGCATAGTGGGATATAGTGGAAAGAACACATGGCTACAGAAATATTTGCTGTATGGCCTTCAGCAAATCACTGCCTCCATTTTCCCAGAAACAACACAGAGATCACTGTGTTTTTTTTTTTTTTTTTTTTTTTGAGGCGGAGTCTCGCTCTGTCACCCAGGCTGGAGTGCAATGGCCGGATCTCAGCTCACTGCAAGCTCCGCCTGCCGGGTTTACGCCATTCTCCTGCCTCAGCCTCCGGAGTAGCTGGGACTACAGGCGCCTGCCACCTCGCCCGGCTAGGTTTTTTTTTGTATTTTTTAGTAGAGACGGGGTTTCACCGTGTTAACCAGGATGGTCTCGATCTCCTGACCTCGTGATCCGCCCATCTCGGCCTCCCAAAGTGCTGGGATTACAGGCTTGAGCCACCGCGCCTGGCCTGAGATCACTGTTTAGCTACCTTTGAGTTAACTTATACCAGGTAGCAAACATAATTGACCATACTTATGCAAGAATAGACTCAGTTCCTAGAACTGGAAATATGCTCAAAATGGGTTGGTTCTGTCCAATATCATTAGGTAGATAAATATGTTATCCCCATTTTACAGATGAAATGAAAGGTTTAGACAGCTGAATTGCTTGGATAAGGAAAAAAGGTACTGAAGCCAGAGTTGTTAACATTGCTCCCTCTTCACATTCATTCTTCAGTACCACAAAATGTTTATGTATAAAGCTAGAGTATATACTATGCAATATAATGCTTAGAGGATAATTACAGATATGTAATTAACATAGTTAATAATTCCCATCACTGTACTAACAGTGTTACTTTCAGTACAAACTACGTTAATCTCCTGACCAGTCCAGGCTCAGCATGTTCAGGAAAGAGAGTGTCGGTTCCCCAAGTAGCAGGGGCAGCCTGGTATTGTGTGCACAGCAGAGTTAGGAACCTGCCTTCCTGAGTTCTACCTTCTTGGTAGCATGAAGAGAAGTGCTGGGCTTCCTTCTAGCATGGCAGCAATAGCCTTCAAGGCAGAAGGCCAGCAAAGCAATCCTGAAGCTCCTGCCTTTGTGAAACCCACATCCTCCCAACTGGGGCCTGCCTTTGTGGAACCCACATCCTCCCAACTGGGGCCTGCCTTTGTGGAACCCACATCCTCCCAACTGGGGCCTGTCTTTTCTGGACTGTTCCAAAGTTGCATACCAGCACTTGCCGCGCTCGCTCGGTCTCCCATTTAAGACTGGCTTTGATCTCACTGACAGTCACGTAGCCATTCTTCTGAAGGAAGGAGGAATGGGGATTGAATCAGTTAAAGAGTGCACCTTCCCTTAGAACCCAGGACCTGCCCAGGAACAACAGACTTATCCAGACAGGAGGAAAAGCTGTCAAGCATGAGGGAACACAGAAAATGTTTAAAGGTTCCAGCGGGGAGAGAGACAAGTGACTTTCAGCATGACAGAGGTAGGTTGGTGGGTTCAATCTTAAAAGTGGAGTCCAGGCCAGGCACAGTGGCTCATGCCTGTGATCCTAGCACTTTGGGAGGCTGAGGTGGGGGTATCACCTGAGGTCAAGAGTTCGAGACCAGCTTTGCCAAGATGGTGAAACCCCATCTCTACTAAAAATACAAAAATTAGCCGGGCATGGTGGCACATGCCTGTAATCCCAGCTACTCGGGAGGCTGAAGCAGGAGAATCGTTGGAACCTGAGAGGTGGAGGCTGCAGTGAGCCAGAGATTGTGCCACTGCATGCCAGCCTGGGCGACAGAGTGAGACTCCATCCCAAAAAAACAAAAAAAGTGGGTCCCTTGTACTAACATGTTAAGTTAGACTTCTGCAAAGCACTCGAGCATGACAAGGGAAGATTCTGAACAATTAACTGATAGGAAGAAGAATCATAAACTGCTAATAATATTCATTATTTAAATATTCAGCCCTTGCCCTGCCTCATTCTACTCATCCTCCAATACAGAAAAGCCCCTCCCTTATTTAGTTCTGTTTTACATTATAAAGAAAACTGGGCCAGGCGAGGTGGCTCACGCCTATAATCCCAGAACTTTGGGAGGCCGAGGCGGGCACATCACCTGAGGTCGGGAGTTCGAGACCAGCCTGGCCAACATGGAGAACCCTCATCTCTACTAAAATTACAAAATTAGCTGGGCGTGGTGGCACACGCCTGTAATCCCAGCTACTTGGGAGGCTGAGGCAGGAGAATCACTTGAGCCCAGGAGGCTGAGATCGTAGTAAGCCAAGATTGCGCGATTGCACTTTGGCCTGGGCAACGAGTGAAACTCCATCTCAAAAATAATAAAGAAAACTGAACATATCTACCCTAAATACTTGATGGGGATTTGGGGGAAGATAGCATATGCTTAAGGCATAATGAGGGACAGAGGCATGGCAAACAAGATTTTTTAAAATCTGTTTTTGAAGAATCCATAAAGTAGTTTCAAAAGACATCAGAGTCTGGCTACCCAAAGAAATCTAGTTAGTTGTCTGCATGTCTGTCTACCTGACTAGACTGTAAGCTCCTTGAGAGCAGGAATTTTATCATTCCTATCTTTATATGCCCCACAGCCTGGCCCAGTGCTTTGCACTGTAGCTGCTCAATAAATGTCTGCTGAACAAGAACAGGCCTGAGTAGTGCATCCACTGGATAGTCTCAGCAAAAGACCTGCATAATGGGGAGCAGGAGCTCAGAACTGCTGACAGCCTTGCATCCCAGTACCTGCACACACACACACTCGAAGGTGCACCAGTACCTCTGCCAGCTGTAGCACCACGGTGTGATCCATATTGAGCTCAGCTGGAACAGACTGAATGAGGTAAGTGCCGCCCACAGGGATGATGCCGAAGCCAGTGCCAAGTGCCTTTAGTTTCTTGATGGCTCTGATCAGGTCGTCTCTGAGGTGAGGAAGAGTTGCTTAACGACCCTTGGAAGATCAGACCTAACAACACAGTTTCAGCTCTGCCCTGGGCAGGACACTGACAGAAAATTTAAAAGACTGCACAACTCCCAGGCGCAGTGGCTCATACCCATAATCCCAACACTTTTGGGATGCCCACATGAGAGGACTGCTTGAGCCCAGGGGTTAGAGACCAGCCTGGGCAACACAGCAAGACTTTGTCTTTACTAAAAAATAAAAAAATAAAAAATTAGCAGGGCATGGTGGCAATCGCCTATAGTCCTTGGGAGGCTGAGGTAGGAGGATCACTTGAGCCCAGGAGTTCAAGGCTGCAGTGAGCTGTGATTGTGTACCACTGTACTCCAACCTGGGTGACAGAGCAAGACCCTGCCTCTAAAATAATAAAAGGCTGCACAACACTCAACTATGTCAGTAAAAAGGGTCAAGGAGCAATAAGTGATGCTTTGACAATCACAGGAGTCAGGCTCTCTGCTCAGCAAACCACTCATTCCAACACCCAGACAGAGGTCAAAGATACACCTGCAGATGCCCATCAGGAAACGTGAATGAGTGAGCTGAAGAGGCAATAGGGGGTAGTGTCACCTGTGGCAAACTAGAGAATGCTTATCTACTTTAAAGGGGGCAACCCAGCTGATTATTGCCAAGTGGAAATTCAAGCCCAATACTACCAAGTTTTCTGATTCTAACTGAAATCAAAGAAGAAAACCTACAAAACAGTGTGTAGATCACATATCCAGCCCACACACAGAGTTTAAAACCTCTGCCAAAGCTCAAAAATATATCACCCAAACAGCCAGGGAAAGGGCACTTTTAGGTAGATTGGAATGCATTCTCCAACTCTCAAGAATAGCAAACTGAAATGCTTCAAATGCTCACCCTCTCTTCATGAGAATTTGCAATGAGTATGGCTAGTAATCTTTTGTTATCACTTTCCTTTTTTTTTTTTTTTTTTTTTTAAAGAGATGAGGTCTTGGCCAGGTGCAGTGGCTTACACCTGTAATCCCTGCACTTTGGGAGGCCGAGAGTTTGAGACCAGCCTAGCCAACATGGTGAAACCCCATCTCCACTAAAAATACAAGAACTAGCAGGGCGCGGTGGCAGGTACCTGTAATCCCAGCTACTCGGGAGGCTGAGGCAGGAGAATCACTTGAACCGGGGAGGCAGAGGTTGCAGTGAGCCGAGATTGCGCCACTGCGCTCCAGCCTGGGCAACAGAGCGAGAGTCCATTTCAAAAAAAAAAAAAGAAAAGTAGAGATGACATCTTGCTGTGTCCCAGGCTGGAGTGCAGTGGTGCAATCATAGCTCACTGCAGCCTAGAACTATGGGTGCGTGCCTCAACACCCAACTACTTTTTGTAGAGACAAGGTCTCACTACACTGCCCAGGCTGGTCTCAAACTCCTGTCCTCAAGCAATCCTCCCACCTCAGCCTCCCAAAGGGCTAGGATTACAGGTGTAAGCTACTGCACCCAGCCTCGTTACTTTTCTTTGAATATTCTACGTCTTCAAGATCTCATAGTAGGCTGACTCCTTGGAAGTTACATCAAAAACAGCCTTTTATCTTTTCTCAAACTGGACTCACACATAGAGGCTGGTGAACTAGATCAATTTATATTCCATCATCTCACTACCACCTCCTTCCCCAGCCTTTCTAGGCACCTACTCTAGTCTCCTTGGCCTCAAATAATCTCAAGACTATATACAGCCCTTGGATACAGTCTAACACCTGCAATCCAAGCACTTTGGGAAGCTGAGGCGGGCAGATCACTTGAGGCCAGGAGTTCAAAACCAGCCTGGCCAACATGGTGAAACCCCATCTCTACTAAAAATACAAAAATTAGCCGGGCAAGGTGGTGCACACCTTACTGGGGAGGCTGTGGCACAAGAATTGCTTGAATCCAGAAGGCAGAGGTTGCAGTGAGCTAAGATCAGGCCACTGCACTCCAGTCTGGGCGACAGCAAGACTCTTTCTCAAAGAAAAACAAAGACTATATATAGCCCCAAGTTTGTTAAAAAATAATACATGAAGAAATGCTTGGAAGGAACTACATTAAAATATATAGCAGTTGTAATCTCTTAGTTGAGAAATAATGGTTTTTGTTTCCCTTTTTATATCTCTATATTTTCTGTTTTCTAAAAATAGCCAGGCGTACGGGCCCATGCCTATAATCCCAACTACTTGGGAGGCTGAGGGGGGAGGATTCCTTGAGGCTGCAGGTAAGCAACGATCTTGGTAGCAGTAAGCTATGATCGTGCCACTGTACTCCAGCCTGGGCAACAGTGAAACCCTGTCTCTTATTTTTTGTTTGTTTCATTTTTTTTTTTTTCTGTACAATATGGAGATCATACAGATTTCTAAGCTAGCCTAGACATGAGGAATAGGGAGAAAAGAGTTCCATCTGAATTTTTAAATTTTTTTTTATTTTAAGACGGAGTCTCGCTCTGTTGCCCAGGCTGGAGTGCAGTGGCGCGGTCTCGGCTCACTGCAAGCTCTGCCTCCTGGGTTCACACCATTCTCCTGCCTCAGCCTCCCGAGTAGCTGGGACTACAGGCGCCTGCCACCACGCCTGGCTAATTTTTTGTATTTTTAGTAGAGTCGGGGTTTCACTGTGTTAGCCAGGATGGTCTCGATGTCCTAACCTCATGATCCACCCACCTCGGCCTCCCAAAGTGCTGGGATTACAGGCGTGAGCCACCACGCCCAGCCCCCATCTGAATTTTAAAGACCTCTTTCTGTACTCCAAGGGATTGAAAGAAGACCTACTGACTGACATCCTGGGCGAACTTGCCCCTTCCCTTCAACACCTGTTGATGTAGTTCCTCCAAAGTTATCAGACCTATTGGAGACAGAAATCAGAAAAAGAGATTACCCACTTTAAATAAGTCGACAGCCATTACATTCCAGTGGCCTATGAATAGCAAGTAACATTCTAGTTCCTAATTTTTTTTAACTCTCTCCTTGGCCGGGCACAGTGGCTCGCGCCTGTAATCCCAGCACTTTGGGAGGCCGAGGTGGGTGCATCACCTGAGGCTGGGAGTTCGAGATCAGCCTTACCAACATGGAGAAACCCCATCTCTACTAAAAATACAAAATTAGCCAGGCGTGGTAGCGCATGCCTGTAATCCCAGCTACTAGGGAGGCTGAGGCAGGAGAATCACGTGAACCTGGGAGGCAGAGGTTGCAGTAAGCCAAGATCGTGCCAGTGCACTCCAGCCTGGGCAACAAGAGGGAAACTCTGTCTCAAAAAAAAAAAAAACAAACACTCTCTCCTTATGAAATAACTGGCCATAATATGAGAAATGGATTCTGAGACTTTGCTAGGCCTGTCAACAGAGTGAGAGCCATGAAAATCTAAAAACAAAAGCAGTGTCATCTTTGAAAAACTATAAATGTCCTCTTGACATCAAGGCCGTGTCTATTTATAGTCGATGATGATTTGTAAATGGTTTTAAGTTTTCTTTCTGCAACTTCAATCCACACCATTTAATGTGCTTACTAAGAAAGATGGCATCAGGCCGGGCGTGGTGGCTCACGCCTGTAATCCCAGCACTTTGGGAGGCCGAGGCGGGCGGATCACAAGGTCAGGAGATCGAGACCACGGTGAAACCCCGTCTCTACTAAAAATACAAAAAATGAGCCGGGCGCGGTGGCGGGTGCCTGTAGTCCCAGCTACTTGGGAGGCTGGGGAAGGAGAATGGCGTGAACCCAGGAGGCGGAGCTTGCAGTGAGCCAGGATCGTGCCACTGCACTCCAGCTTGGGCGACAGAGCAAGACTCCGTCTCAAAAAAAAAAAAAAAAAAAAAAAAAAAAAGAAAGATGGCATCACCCAATGACGAATTTTAAGGTCACATTTTAGGGAACACAGAGACTCAGCTGGCATTCCCATACGTCAGAGAGACAGTGCAGGACTACAGTTACTAATGAGAAAATCACTCCAGACACATCAGACATCAGGGGAAAAGGCCTATTTCCTACCTCCCTACTATTTTCTGTACTGAGTAGGGATTAGACCTTCCTGGCCAAAGATCTTTGGAGAACAGAGACAATCGTTCAGGTAATTCTATTTACCCTTGGCCATGGAGACTTGCCATGGATTCAACTGCATGAAACAGCTAAGATGTCTCTCAAGTCCTTAGAGGCCTGTAGACTGCAGGACGGAAACGATAATCTTTTACGGTTTTCTCCCTCTCAGAGAAGTCCAGAGTCCAGTTCACAGGACCCAGCCACCCTCACCTCCATTCCGATGCTTCAGCGCCAGGCACACTTCGATAATTTGGACACCTAGTTCGTAATAGAAGTCCCCCACGCCCAGCATCTCAGACCAAAATCCTTTTCCAGCTACAAGACAGAAAAACAAAATCTCGGTTATTGATTAATTTATATCCCTTCTTTTCTTTCAAAGCTGCATTAAAACATCTATCGTGGCCGGGCGCGGTGGCTCAAGCCTGTAATCCCAGCACTTTGGGAGGCCGAGACGGGTGGATCACAAGGTCAGGAGATCGAGACCATCCTGGCTAACACGGTGAAACCCCGTCTCTACTAAAAAAATACAAAAAAACTAGCCGGGCGAGGTGGCAGGCGCCTGTAGTCCCAGCTACTCCGGAGGCTGAGGCAGGAGAATGGCGTGAACCCAGGAGGTGGAGCTTGTAGTGAGCCGAGATCCCGCCACTGCACTACAGCCTGGGCGACAGAGCAAGACTCCGTCTCGAAAAAAAAAAAAAAAAAAAAATTTAAAAAAAAACATCTATCATATGGGAAGTTTTCCCTGCATGGCATGAAGTTCTTCTGCTCCATTTGCTACTCAGGAAAAAATCAGACTTATTACGGTAACTCCTGCTGAAGAACAGGGTCAGACAGTTCCAGAGGGCAGGCAATCTAAAAGTCATTTCTGGCTGGCTGCAGTGGCTCATGCCTGTAATTCCAGTACTTTCAGACACCGAGGTGGGCGGATCGCTTGAGACCAAGAGTTCGAGACCAGCCTGGCCAACACAGCAAAACCCCATCTCTACTAAAAATAAAAAAAAATTAGCCAGGAGTGGTGGCGTGCGCCTGTAATCCCTGCTACTTGGGAGGCTGAGACAGGAGAATTGCTGGAACCCAGGAGGCAGAGGTTGCAGTGAGCCAAGATTGTACCAACATACTCCAGCCTGGGCAACAAGAGCGCAACTGTCTCAAAAATAAATAAATAAATAAATAAATTAATAAATAAATAAATAAAAATTGAAAAAATAAAACAAAAGTCATTTCTATTTGGCTAATTCTGGCTCAGGATACTGAAAAAACGAGTTTCCATTCACACAACATACAGTGAAATATAATGGGAAATACGGTCTAGACAAGACTAAGAGAAAGAATATGCAGACTCAGCATCCAAAATCCACTGATGTTCTGCAAGTTACCAGGAGTGTAGAAATAAAAAATAAAATACGGGCTGGGCGCAGTGGCTCACACCTGTAATCCCAGCACTCTGGGAGGCAGAGGCAGGCGGATCACCTGAGGTCAGGAGTTTGAGACCAGCCTGACCAACATGGAGAAACCCCGTCTCTACTAAAAATACAAAATTAGCCAGGCGTGGTGGTAGGCACCTGTAATCCCAGCTACTCGGGAGGCTGAGGCAGGAGAATCGCTTGAACCTGGGTGGTTGCAGTGACCCAAGATCATGCCATTGCACTCTAGCCTGGGCATCAAGAGCAAAACTCCATCTAAAAAAAAAAAAAAAAAAAAAAAGAAAAGAAAAATGCAGGTTGTAGAGCAGTAGTAATTATAATCCCATGTATGTTTAAAAAGTCGGGGCCAGGCCAGGAGCGGTGGCTCACGCCTGTAATCCCAGCACTTTGGGAGGCTGAGACGGGTAGATCACGAGGTCAGATCAAGGCCATCCTGGCTAACACGCTAAAACCCTGTCTCTACTAAACACACAAAAAATTAGCCAGGCATGGTGGCACACACCTGTGGTCCCAGCTACTCAGGAGGCTGAGGCGGGAGAATCACTTGAACCCAGGAGAAGGTTGCAGTGAGCCAAGATTGCAGCACAACTGTACTCCAGCATGGGCAACAGAGCGAGACTGTCTCAAAAAAAAAAAAAAAAAACACTAGGGCCAGGCACGGTGGCTCACGCCTCTAGTCCCAGCGCCACTCGGGAGGTTGAGGCAGAAAAGTAACTTGAACCCTGGAGTTGAAGGCTGCAGTGGGCTGATTGCACCAATGCACTCCAGCCTAGGTGACAGAAACCTCAACACTAAAAAATAATAAATTAGTAATTTTTTTTTTTTTTTTTTTTGAGATGGAGTCTCGCTCTGTTGCCCAGGCTGAAGTGCAGGGGCACAATCTTGGCTCACTGCAACCTTCACCTCCCGGGTTCAAGTGATTCTCCTGCCTCAGCCTCCTAAGTAGCTGGGATTACAGTCACATGCCACCACGCCTGGCTAATTTTTAGTAGAGACAGGGTTTCACCATGTTAGCCAGGATGGTCTCCATCTCCTGACCTCATGATCTGCCTGCCTCAGCCTCCCAAAGTGCCAGGATTACAGGCGTGAGCCACCATGCCCGGTCAATAATTTTTTTTTAAGTTTATAAGTATGAGGAAGGGCTCAGTGCAGAGGCTCACGCCTGTAATCCCAGCACTTTGGGAGGCCAAGAAAGGCTGATCACTTGATCCCAAGAGTTCAAAACCAAACTGGACAACATGGTGAAACCTCCTTTCTATAAAAAATATAAAAATTAGCCAGGTTTGGTGGTACAGGCCTGTAATCCCAGCTACTTGGGAGGCTGAAGCACAAGAATTGCTTGAACCTGGAAGGCAGAGGTTGCAGTGAGCCAAGATGGCACCACTGCACTCCAGCATGGGTGACAGAGCAAGACTCTGTCTCAAAAAAAAAAAAACAAAACTTTTTTTTTTTAAACAAGGTCTTGCTGCAGCCTCAACTTCCTAGGCTCAAGCAATCCTCCTACCTCAGCCTCCCAAGTAGCTGGACTATAGACACATGCCACCACACATGGCAAATTTTTATAGTTTTTGTAGAGATGGGGTCTCGCCATGTTGCCCAAGCTGATCTTGAACTCCTGGATTCAAGTGATCTGCCTGCCTTGGCCTCACAAAGTGCTGGGATTATAGGCATGAGCCACTGCACCTGGCCAAAATTAAATATTTTTTAATAAAGAGGGAAAATGCCATAAAAAATTCTACTGTAGATCATTCAAGGAATGATCATGGACACTGGCTACTCAGCCTATAGTTGGTCTATCTTCCATATCAGACAGTAACTAGCCATCCTGCTAGGTACTCCCTAAAGATGACACCTTCTGGGTCTTCTTGTAGGCCTTTCTAGCAGATACCCCAACAGTGGTAACAACTATGTGAGCTTCTGTCCCTAAGGTTCTCTATAAGAACACTGGAACCCTACAGACAACTTCTTACAGGCCAGCGGATCCACGCCAATGGTTGCACACATGTCCTGGAACTGCACACGGAACTCAGGATTCTTCCGGATCTCCTGCTTGTGCTTGCTGGCAAATTCCTCCAGGTTGGTCTTGAACATGTCCAACTGCTTTGACATCTGTTGGATGGACAGGGAGTGGTGAAGGGCAGCCCAGCCAGATGATAATCAGATGCCAAAAATAGGTGCCCAGTCCTGTGGCATGGCAAAGGCTGAAATAACCAGTCTCTCTCAGCCTACCATTATGCTGTTTACCATCTATCTCTCTCTTTATCCCTGCCTCTCCTTCACAGTTCTGTTGTCAGCAGAAATGGGATGCTGTACTGTTTTCTCACTTCCAAACTAGACAATTTTTTGTGCGTTCCTGTTCTAAAATCAGGATGTATTTAATAATCAAGGTGCACATATATACAACCAAATACATGCACAAAAAAAGAACAAAGTGTTATATATAATGTGGTATTCCTTTTCTTTTACCCAGAAAAACTTATTAATTTGAAGATGTACCTAATAATTCATTGTATCTTAGAAATGAGGGAATGCAGTGTTCACCCATTAGAAAATCTTTACCCCCCGATGGAAAGGGTGGACGGGAAAAAAATGAAGTGTTGCATGAATCTGTTTAACCTATGAGTCTGGCCAGGAATGGTGGCTCACACCTGTAATCCCACAATGGATCACTTGAGCCCAGGAGTTCAAGTTTAGCTAGGGCAACATAGCAAGACTCTGTCTCAATCAATCAACATATATATATATTTTTTTTAAATTTTTTTTTGAGACAGAGTCTTGCTTTGTTGCCCAGGCTGGAGTGCACTGGCACAATCTCAGCTCACTGCAACCTTAGCCTCCCAGTTCAAGCGATTCTCTTGCCTCAGCCTCCTGAGTAGTTGGGACGACAGGCACACACCACCACACCTGGCTAATTTTTGTATTTTTAGTGAAGACAGGATTTCATCATGTGGGCCAGGCTGGTCTCGAATTCCTGACTTCAAGCAATCCATCAGCCTCAGCCTCCCAAAGTGGTGGGATTACAGATGTGAGCCACCGCGCAGGGTCAATCAATCAATCAACCAACCAACCAATATAAATTTAAAAAAAAAACTTTTGAGTCATGAACCTCCCTGGGGATCAATTCCAGATAAAGAACTACTCTGGGACTTTAATTTGCCAGATTGCATTTCATGTTAAATACAAAAGACTTGGGGATTTTCTGACTTTGTATTACCCCTTCTCTTTTCCTAATTAACAAGGACCATCTTCTATTCCACCAAGAATAAGCACTCCTAGCCCAATATTTCTCACATAAAACTGTTAGAAACCTCCACATTCTTTTAATCACAATTTTCAGTTGATTCCTGCAGTCATCTCCCCTGTGAGTGGGAGCTTTTGAAGAGCACAGCCTGGGCCTACTATTTTTCTTCAGCTCACAGCCCCATTTTCCTGTTTAACAGCTTCCTCCTCTTCTTCCCCAATCACAATCACTGCGTAAACTTGGAGCATGTAAAGAGCAGGGAAGGGCTAGAAAAGAAAACTGCACAGGAGCTGCACCCCCATCACTCACACACTGTCCTGGTGTGTGCCTAGATGTCATGATGGTGGTGTGGGTGCCACAGGTTAGGCAATATTTTCATTTTATTCTGAAGTATTTAAAATGAAAAGCCCCAGAGGACGTAAATCAATAACAGCTCTACCACTTACTACCCATATAACCTTGGATATATTACTTAACACCCCAGTGTCCCAATTTCTTTTTCTTTTCTTTTTTTTTTTTTTTGAGACAGAGTTTTGCTCTTGTCGCCCAGGCTGGAGAGCAGTGGCACAATCTCGGCTCACTGCAACCTCCACCTCCTGGGTTCAAGACATTCTTCTGCCTCAGCCTCCCAAGTAGCTGGGATTACAGGCATGTGCCACTACGCCCAGCTAATTTTATATTTTTAGTAGAGATGGGGTTTCTCCATGTTGGTCAGGCTGGTCTCGAACTCCTGACCTCAGGTGATCCGCCCACCTCGGCCTCCCAAAGTGCTGAGATTACAGGCGTGAGCCACCAGACAAAGAGACCAGCATGAGTTAGAGAGGGGCCTGGGGCCGCGCAGTGGCCACGCCTGTAATCCGCACTTGGGGGGGGGGCGGATCAGGTCAGAGACTGAGACCACCTGGCTAACACGGGAAACCTCTCTTTTTTTTTTTTTTTTTTTTTTTTTTGAGACAGAGTCTTGCTCTGTCCCCCAAGGTGGAACGCGGTGGCAAGATACTGGCTTACTACAACCTCTGCCTCCTGGGTTCATGCAATTTTCCTACCTCAGCCTCCTCAGTAGCTGGGACTACAGGAGCCAGCCACCACGCCTGGCTAATTTTTGTATTTTTAGTAGAGACGGGATTTCACCATGTTGGCCAGGCTGGTCTCGAACTCCTGACCTCCAGTGATCAGCCTTCCTCAGCTTCCCACAGTGCTGGGATTACAGGCTACCCCACAGCGCCCAGCTCTCAATTTTGAACTCAGAATACGGCCAGGCACGGTGGTTCACGACTGTAGTCCCAGCACTTTGGGAGGCTGAGGCGGGCGGATCACCTCGGGCGGATCACCTGAGGCCAGGAGTTCAAGACCAGCCCAGCCAACATGGCGAAACCCTGACTCTACAAAAAAAATACAAAAATTAGGGCCAAGCACGGTGGCTCACACCTGTAATTCCAGCACTTTGGGAAGCCAAGGTGGGTGGATCTCAAAGTCAAGAATTTGAGACCAGCCTGACCAACATGGAGAAACCCTGTCTCTACTAAAAATACAAAAACTGGCTGGGCGTGGTGGCTCACGCTTGTAATCCCAGCACTTTGAGAGGCCGAGGCGGGTGGATCATGAGGTCAGGAGTTCGAGACCAGCCTGGCCAAGATGGTGAAACCCCGTCTCTACTAAAAATACAAAAATTAGCCGGGTGCAGTGGCGGGCGCCTGTAATTCCAACTACTCGGGAGGCTGAGGCAGGAGAATCGCTTGAACCTGGGAGGTGGAGGTTGCAGTGAGCCGAGATTGCGCCACTGCGCGCTAGCCTGGGCGACAGAGCAACACTCCGTCTCAAAAAAAAAAATATATATATATATATTAGCCGGGCGTGGTAGCGCATGCCTGTAGTTGTAGCTACTCGGGAGGCTGAGGTTGGAGAATCACTTGAACCCGGGAAACGGAGGCTGCAGTGAGCTGAGATCATGCCACTGTACTCCAGTCTGGGCAACAGAGCAAGACTCCATCAAAAAAAGAAAAAAAAAAAACCCTCAGAATAATAGGGTTCCCTCCTTATGGGACTGTAATGAGGACTGAACAAGACAGTATATGTAAAGAAAATAGACAAATGCCTGGGACGTTACATGCCTGGGACGTTAGTTACAAGCATGTAATCACTCAAATATGTTGGCCATTATTGTTATTAGCAAGTCACCTAAAAGATCTCAGCGGTTCAGAAATCAAAATTTGCCAAACACCCTATTTCTAGTTCAATCTACACAATCAAATTCGTATCCAAGGTGTTTTGGCCAGCCCTGTTAGGTCTCCCTCCCTGCCTGGGGCCCCCCAGCCGACTCACCTGGGCTAGCTGGTCCTCAGCCAAGACCGTCCCTCGCTCCTTATACTTGGCCTGTCAGACAAAGAGACCAGCATGAGTTAAGAGAGTGGGCGCTGGGGGCCGCGCGCAGTGGCTCACGCCTGTAATCCCAGCACTTTGGGAGGCGGAGGCGGGCGGATCACGAGGTCAGGAGACTGAGACCATCCTGGCTAACACGGTGAAACCGTCTCTACTAAAAATACAAAAAATTAGCCGAGCGTGGTAGTGGGCGCCTGTAGTTCCAGCTACTCGGGAGGCTGAGGCAGGAGGATGGCGTGACCCGGGAGGCGGAGCTTGCAGTGAGCCGAGATCGCGCCACTGCACTCCAGTCTGGGGGACAGAGCAAGACTCCGTCTCAAAAAAAAAAGAAAAAGAAAAACAAGAGAGTAGGTGCTGGGGTCCCCCACTTGTGCTGCCACAGCTTTGGGATGAAAAGAGGGGTGTTTCTCTTAAATGGTTTTCTTAGGGAGAAGGATAGGGTGAAGAAGTAGAATCGACGACTGTAGATTTGTGAGTAGAGTCCCATTTGTAGTTAAAACTTGGGTAAGTGGGAGAAAGAGCTGGGCATCTGGGAACGCTGCCAATCCACCGGAAGCTGGAGACATTCTGTATCCCGGGGCCAAGAAGCCCGTCTCAGATTCTGCTGGGAGGTGATTAACGGGTAGGACTCGGCTCCGAGAGAATTCAGTCTTGCACGGGTCAGGGGCAGGTTGTGGGTCGGCCTTCTTCCTGCTCACCTCTGCAAGTTTCTTCTTGGCGATGGCGCCAGCTCCCACCCCACGGCGGTGCATTCCCACCCTGGGCCCGCGGGCCGCCCAGCTGCAGCGACCCCAGGTCTCCGCGTCCCGGGCTCCGCCGCCCGCTCCCCAAGGCGGAAGCCCGAGCCGCGCGTCATCTGCACGCGCCGGAAGCCACGAGGCGCATTTCCTGCTGCGGGGCTGAGTGTCTCCGGTTGCTACCAGTCCGGCGACCCCGCCTTTAGCTAGTGGCCAAGATTCGCAAAGCCTCGCAGCGAGGAAGGCACGAATATTCGCGCGCGGCCGAGGCCCTCGTTGGCTAGTGCTGGGACGTGGAGCCCCGGCCGCCAAGACCCAAGCTTGTGCATTCCGCCCACGTAGGCGCCTGGGGCCTTGGTCTTCCTCGACTGCCCCTCCACTGCCTGGAGGTCATCAAATGCCCCTGGACCACCTCTTACGTGCCAAACGCTGTGTTGGCCATCCAGGGTTCCATATTGAGCATAAAATAGCCCTCTGCCCTAACGGAGTTAACCTGTTGGAATCACATACAAAGGATTCTGACTACGAAGGGCCTTGAAGTTAAGTTGAACTCTGAAGTCAGATTGCCTGGCTGCGAAGCTCAGTTCCACTACATATGGTACAGGAACTTAAGGCAAATTATTTTAATGTCTTTATGGTTCACTATCCACAGTAGTGAAATAGAATAATACCTACTCATGGCCGGGCGCGGTGGCTCAAGCCTGTAATCCCAGCATTTCGGGAGGCTGAGGCGGGTGGATCACCTGAGGTTAGGAGTTCGAGACCAGCCTGGCCAACAAGGCGAAACCCCCGTCTGTACTAAAAATACAAAAAAATTAGCAGGGGGTGGTGGTGCGCATCTGTAATCCCTGGTACTTGGGAGGCTGAAGCAGAAAAATCTCTTGAACCAGGAGGCGGAGGTTGCGATGAACCAGGATTGTGCCATAGCACTCCAGCCTGAGCGACAAGAGCGTGACTCCGTCTCAAAAAAAAAGAAAAAAATGTAGTAAATCATATCGTGCAATGCCTGGCACACAAATAAATATCAGTTATGATTGTTATTCATTTTTTGAGATAAAATCAGTCATCTGTGGCTGGGCGCGGTAGCTCACGCCTGTAATCCCAGCACTTTGGGAGGCCGAGGTGGGTGGATCACGAGGTCAGGAGTTCAAGACCAGCTCGGCCAAGATGTTGAAACCCCGTCTCTACTAAAAATACAAAAAATTAGCGGGGTGTGGTGGCTGGTGCCTGTAATCCTAGCTGCTGCGGAGGCTGAGGCAGAGAATTCCTTGAACCTGGGAGGCAGAGGTTGCAGTGAGCAGAGATCCTGCGGATGCACTCCAACCTTGGCGACAGAGCGAGACTCCGTCTCAAAAAAAAAAAAAAAAAAAAAGGAAAAAAAATGAAAAAGACCCAGGTTCCTTAAGCGAACCAGGAGGTGGTAGTTAGGCTTCTCCACATGGAAACCCCTTAGTCTCACTGGCCATGGCCAAAAACCTGCAGTTGCTTCCATGTTTAGGTGCTGACCACCAAGGGTCCCGGGTTGGAAAGGAAGAGAGAAAGAGAGAGAAACGGGGAGAGAGAGAGAGAGAGAGATTCCCCTTTATGGAGCAGAAAGGAAAAGGAAAAAGGGGGAAAATAAATCCCAAACTTTGGGCTTACGTTTTCCTCCTGGCTGTCTCGCCAAAATATGTTAACGGTGGAGGGTGTCCAGGTTCTTGGGGTCTTGAAAAAACAACTGGACAAAACACACAAACAAAGCAAGGAAGGAATTAAGGGATTTATTGAAAATGAAAGTAGCGTGGGCACGGTGGCTCATGCCTGTAATCCCAGCACTTTGGGAGGCTGACTCGGGTGAATCACTTGAGGTCAGGAGTTCGAGACCAGCCTGGCCAACATGGTGAGACCCTCGATCTACTAAAAAAAAAAATACAAAAGTAGCCAGATGTGTTGACACACACCTGTAATCCCAGCTACTCGGGAGGCTGAGGCAGGAGAATCACTTGAACCCGGGAGGCCGAGGTTGCAGTGAGCCAAGACTGCACCATTACACTCCAGCCTGGGCAACAGAGGGAAACTCCATCTCAAAAAAAAAAGAAGCCGGGCGCGGTGGCTCAAGCCTGTAATCCCAGCACTTTGGGAGGCTGAGACGGGAGGATCATGAGGTCAGGAGATCGAGACCATCCTGGCTAACACAGTGAAACCCCGTCTCTACTAAAAAATACAAAAAACTAGCCAGGCGAGGTGGCGGGCGCCTGTGGTCCCAGCTACTCAGGAGACTGAGGCAGGAGAATGGCGTAAACCCGGGAGGCGGAGCTTGCAGTGAGCTGAGATCCGGCCACTGCACTCCAGCCTGGGCGACAGAGCCAGACTCAGTCTCAAAAAAAAGAAAAAAAAAAAAAGAAAAGAAAAAAGAAAGAAAACTCTACAGTGTGGGAGTGGGCCCAAGCATAAGGGCAGGCAGATCACCTGAGGTCAGGAATTTGAGACCAGCCTGACCGACATGGTGAAACCCTGTCTCTACTGAAAATACAAAAAATTAGCCAGGCATGATGGCGCATGCCTGTAATCCTAGCTACTAGGGAGGCTGAGGCAGGATAATTGCTTGAACCCGGGAGATGGAGGTTCCAATGAGCTTCAAAATGTAACTGCCGTTTTGGACCTAGAGGAATGGTGGAACCATGAGTACAATGAGCTTCAATCCCCAAGGATTTTTACGGAGCAGACTGTCATACCAGCCCTACGCCACCAATCTCTGAGTGTTTGTTTATTTATTTACTTTGAGACAGAGTCTCGCTCTGTCGCCAGGCTGGACTGCAGTGGCACGATCTTGGCTCACTGCAACCTCTGCCTCTTAGGTTCAAGCAATTCTGCCTCAGCCTCCCGAGTAGCTAGGACTACAGGCGCACGCCGCCATACCTAAATTTTTTTTTTTTTTTTTTTTTTTTTTTTAGTAGAGACAGGGTTTCACCATGTTGCCCAGCCTGGTCTCGAACTCCTGAGCTCAGGCAATCCGCCCACCTTGGCCTCCCAAAGTACTAGGATTACAGGCGTGAGCTACTATGCCCAGGCTATTTTTTATTTTTATTTTTTATTTTACTAGAGCGCGAACACAGTCCCCCACTACCACAAATTACGCAGTCGAGTTTGCCACATTTGGGGAAATCGCAGGAGTCGGCACGTTCGAAGTGCAATGGATGAGCCTCGCCCTAAGAAAACCACCTTCAGGATAATGGTATCTCCCCTGCCAGGAAAGTATTGAGTGTTTATGAGAAAGAGAAATAATGTTCTGTCTTACTAAAGCCACTATTATTTTGTGTTTTCCTGTTATTTGAAGACAAATTTATTTCTTTTTTCTTTCTTTTTTTTTTTTTTTTTTTGAGACGGTGTTTCACTCTTGTTGCCTAGGCTAGAGTGCAATGGCGTGATCTCAGCTCACCGCAATCTCCACCTCCCGGGTTCAAGCGATTCTCCTGCCTCAGCCTCCCGGGTAGCTGGGACTACAGGCGCACATCACCACACCTGGCTAATTTTTGTATTTTTAGTAGAGACAGGGTTTCGCCATGTTGGCCAGGCTGGTTTCAAATTCCTAACCTCAAGTGATCCACCCACCTTGGCCTCCCAAAGTGCTGAGATTCCATGCAGGAGCCACCACCCCCAGCCATCATAAGAGGTCTTAACTACATAACTTCCAAACACAAAACTTGGTCCCTTAGGTACTCACTGACACCATCTAGATACACCTGCTTCCTCCCTTACTCTTTGACTCGTTATGCAATGCCCTAAGGTATGCACACTGATCTGCTCACTCACAATGAAGAACTTAGATTTAATAATTCATGCCTTCAAATGCATACACACATGCCTAGTCCCTTTTTTTTTTCTTTTTTTTTCTTTTTTTTCAGATGGAGTTTCACTGTTGTTGCCTGGGCTGGAGTGCAATGGCACGATCTCGGCTCACTGCAACCTCTGCCTCCCAGGTTCAAGCGATTCTCCTACCTCAGCCTCCGGAGTAGCTGGGATTACAGGCATGTACCACCAAGCCTGGCCAAGTTTTTGTATTTTTAGTAGAGACGGGGTTTCTCCGTGGTGGTCAGGCTGGTCTTGAACTCCCGACCTCAGGTGATCGGCCCGCCTCGGCTTCCCAGAGTGCTGGGATTTCAGGCGTGAGCCACGGTGCGCCCAACTTCTCCTTCTTTTTTTTGAGACCAAATTTCGCTCTCGTTGCCCAGGCTAGAGTGCAGTGGTGTGATCTCAGCTCACTGCAACCTCTGCCTCCCGGGTTCAAGCGATTCTCCTGCCTCAACCTCCCAAGTAGCTGGGACTACAGGTACCCACAACCATGGCCGACTAATTTTGGCTTTTTAGTAGAGACGAGGTTTCACCACATTGGCCAGGCTGGTCTTGAACTCCTAACCTCAGGTGACCCACCTGCCTCGGCTTCCCAAAGTGCAGGATTATAGGCGTGAGCCACCACGCCTGGCTTGCCACTGCGCCCAGCTGTGCCTAGTCCCTTAGATGCACAAAGTGGACCTCAATAGCTACACTTGTGGCCACACTCTGGCAGACATGCTCATCCTCCTATACAGATACATTTGTACCCTTTTATAATTTTAGGGAAAATATGCTGACCAGTGATATCCTGGTAAGGGTTTAACAACTACCTTGCCAGGCTGGGAGAGGGGAACCCTGATTTGTAGCATTTGCCTATGTCCATGGTGTAAATACTCTGACTGTGGGCTTGATATGTTGCCAGGATGGTATATGGTGGCTATTCACAGGTGCTATCACAGGGCACTATAGCTTTGAACAACTGGGCTTAAGTGATCCTCCTGCCTCAGTCTCTCAAGCAGATGGGACAAAGGCACTTGCCACTGTGCCTGCTTCCAGCACATCACAGAATGCTGACCATCACGGAATCCCTCATTTGCTTTAACTGACTCATTGGCTTCGTGGCAGGTTGGCTAAGAACATGGTCTTTTTTTTGTCGGGGGATGGAGTTTCGCTCTTATTGCCCAGGCTGGAGTGCAGTGGCGCAAACTTGGCTCACCACAACCTCCGCCTCCCGGGTTCAAGCGATTCTCCTGCCTCGGCCTCCCGAGTAACTGGGACCACAGGCATGCGGCCCCACACCCGTCTAACTTTGCATTTTTAGTAGAGAGAGGGTCTCTCCATGTTGGTCAGGCTGGTCTCGAACTCCTGACCTCAGGTGATCCGCCTGCCTCGGCCTCCCAAAGTGCTAGGATTATAGGCGTGAGCCACCGCGCCCAGCCAAAACATAGTCTTTTAATTTTTTTTTTTTTTTTTTTTGAGACAGGGCCTCATTATGTCACGCAGGCCAGAATGCAGTGGTGCCATCGTAGCTCATCATAACCTTGAACTCCTGGGCTTAAGGGATCCTGTGACCTCAGCCTTTCAGGCAGCTGGGACTACAGATGCATGCCACTGTGCCTGGTTAATTTTTTAAAACTGTCATAGAGATAAAGTCTGGCCTTGTTTCCCAGGCTGGTCTTGATCTCCTGGGCTCAAGTGATCCTCTCACCTTGGCCTCCCTAAATACTGGGATTACAGGTGTGAGCCAGTGCACTCAGCCTCCAGTTGACCTCTAAGATTTCTTTCAGCTCTGACATTCTTGGTTTCTATTCCTTTAAATTCCTGGAGCTCCTGGAATCTATACACACAATTTAGAGCAAGTCTTTGTTTAGAGGGTTTGTTTTAGTGATTCTCCATGATAGAACTGATTATCTAGGGGAGAAATTTGAATCTACATTTCTGAGGTCTTGGATGTCTTCAGGGGAGGTTGGTGAATCAAAAAGAGTTAGTTTTGAGCTGGACATGATGGCTCACACCTATTAATACAATTCCAGCCACAGAGCAGAAGTGGGTGGAGTACTGAGGCAGGAAGATCTCCAGCCCAGGAGTTTGAGGCTGCTGTAAGCCATGATCACACCACTGCACTGTAGCCTAGGCAACGGAGGGAAACCCCCCAACTCTAAAAAAAGAAGTTAGTTTTTTTCCATTTGTACAACGTTCTTACTGTGGGCTCGGCATTGTGCTAGGCATTTTGTAAACATTGTCTTCCTTTTTTTAATATATATCATGGTGGTCTCATTTAAAGCCTTATCATAACCCTTTAAAAAAAAGATAATATGATAATTGTTATCAACCATGCACTGCACTGCCTCCACGAGGTAGAAAATTAAAAGCCTTAAAAAGCCTACAAAACTACCTATCGGGTTCTATGCTCACTACCAGGGTGACAGGACCCGTACTACAAACCCCAACATCATGCAATGTTCCAATGTAACAAATCTGCACATAAATATCTGTATCTAAAATAAAAGTTGAAAATTTTTTTCAAAAAGAAAATTTGGCTGGGCGTGGTGGCTCACGCCTGTAATCCCAGCACTTTGGGAGGCCAAGGCGGGCAGATTACCTGAGGTCAGGAGTTCGAGACCAGCCTGGCTAACATGGTGAAACCTGGTCTCTACTAAAAGTACAACAATTAGCTGGGTGTGGTGGCACATGCCTGTAATCTCAGCTACTTGGGAGGCTGAAGCAGGAGAATTGCTTGAGCCCGGGAGGTGAAGGTTGCAGTGAGCTGAGATCTTGCCACTGCACTCCAGCCTGGGAGACAGAGTGAGACTCTGTCTCAAAAAATATAAAAAATAAAAATAAAAGAAAATCGGCCGGGCGCAGTGGCTCAAGCCTGTAATCCCAGCACTTTGGGAGGCTGAGACGGGCGGATCACGAGGTCGGGAGATCAAGACCATCCTGGCTAACACGGTGAAACCCCGTCTGTACTAAAAAATACAAAAACCTAGCCGGGCGAGGTGGCGGGCGCCTGTAGTCCCAGCTACTCGGGAGGCTGAGGCAGGAGAATGGTGTAAACCCAGGAGGCGGAGCTTGCAGTGAGCTGAGATCCGGCCACTGCACTCCAGCCTGGGCGACAGAGCAAGACTCCGTATCAAAAAAATAAAAATAAATAAAAGAAAAGAAAAGAAAATTTAAAGTAGGCTGGGTGACACAGCAAGACTCTGTCTCAAAAAAAAAAAAAAAAAAAAGGAGTTTTGTTTGATTAGCAGAATACCTTGAGGCACAATCCTACCCCTCCCATTGTCTTGTGTTCTCCCCATTTTGCTCACTGCCAGCCCTTGGGCCAATCTGGTTGCCACTCTCTCCCTGAGTTGATTTTATTTATTAATTTTGGTTTTAGGTAATTTATTAGGTTATCTTACAGACAGAAGGGTGGTCTTGGGTGGCCACAAGACGGGTAGATCTCCACACAACAACCTCCAGACCCAGGGCTTACATCCTGGGGAAAAGCATAAGTGCTTTGGTAGGAATGTATAGATGTTTACAGGCTTCACAGCCTATGGTTTCTGCAGCAGCATCAAGGGTCGTTTTGGAGGAAACTTACAGTGAATAAGTGTTTCTACAGAAAGCGTAATACATCAAGTAGACATTTTGGAGGCACTTCTGGGTAAATCAGAAATTACATGTCAGATTAGGATTTAAAATAAAGTCCCTCTTGTGACCACTCCACTCATCTAATCCGGCTCATACAATCTCACGCACTCACCTCTTCCACGATGGTTCCTCAGCCTGTAGAGAAGGGTGTGCTGCAGTCATTTCCATGGCATGGGTGGACAGGTTGCATTAATTTGTTTTATGCTTGTTAGCAGAGGCCACACCAACAATACAAACAATGAAACCTGGCCAAGTGACTTTAGGAGCTTTACAGCTGGTCCTGGGCTTTGTGTCTTTTGTGGGTTGGTGGCCCATCCTCTGGATTGGAGAAGAGTACACAAGGCAGTTGCTTTCCAGGCTTCTGGGGTGTCCTGGTGTCTTAGCTATGGATCTCCCAATATCTGCAGGTCACAGGGTGACAGAAGCTGCAGCACAGTTACCTGGACCTCCCAGAGCAGAGGATAAGGAGCAGTGAAGACAGGATGGAGCTCTGATTGGAGCAAGAAACCCACTCCATTATATATATATATATATGTGTGTGTGTGTGTGTGTGTGTATGTGTGTGTGTATGTGTATATATGTGTGTATGTGTGTGTGTGTGTGTGTGTGTGTATATATATATATATATATATTTTTTTTTTTTTGGAGATCAAGTCTCACTGTCATCCAGGCTGTAGTGCAGTGCTGCAATCTCAGCTCACTGCAACCTCCGCCTCCTGGGTTCAAGTGATTCTCCTGCCTCAGCCTCCTAAGCAGCTGGGAATACTGGTGTATGCCACCACACTCAGC